CGTCGGTCCGGCCCCAGCTGGGAGGATGGTGTAACCTGTCTCTGAGTGTTGGCATAGCCATGAGAAGTGAGTCCGGGCTGGTTTCTTGCATCTGCCCCAGGAAAGTTCCAAGGCAGCAGCCAAATGACACCTCGGCCGGGCTGGCCAACCTGGGGCCTGCGGTTTACGGTAAGGGGAGTTCTTTTTTTTAAGATTTTATTTATTTATTTGAAAGAGAGAGAGAGAGACAGCTAGAGAGGGAACAGCACCTGGCATTACATGGACCACGTGAGCAGGGGGAATGGCAGAGGGAGAAGCAGGCTTCCCGCGGAGCAGGGAGCCCAATGCGGGGCTTGATCCCAGGAGCCTGGAGTCACGACCTGAGCCGAACGCAGCCGCTTGACAGCCACCAGGCGCCCCAGTAAGGGGAGCTCTAAAGGAAACACTTGGACCTGGCTACTTCCTGAAAGCTCTCAGCTGGGCCTACAGAGCATGAGTGTGAGGTTTGCCTCCCTAAGTAAGTCATAGGCCCCACGTGCTGGGGGGCAGTGGGGTGGTGGGGTGGCAGTGTGCGTGACAGGTAGGGTCTGAAAGCAAAGGTGATTTGTTGGCGTAAAGGTGGGGGCTTGGTCAGGGGTCTCAGCCTGGGGTCCTTCACCAAGAGCGAGCCCAGGGGCGTCAGTGTGCACAGATGTGGTGAAGGTGTGGGTGTGGGTGTGGCAGGGGCAGCAGCTTCTGTCCATACCCAAAAGTCTCTGCCTACCCTGAGGTTTCCTTCTGTGAAGCTCTCACCACGGCTGCCAGTCCCCGGGGCCAGAGAGTCGGAGCTCAGGAGCAGGCTCGTCCCTGGAAACTCTCCAGGGTGGAGAGGTGGAGCCTTCTGGGTGCGGTGGCGCTGTGGCTGGATCTCGGGGTGCTTGGTGGGTGAGATATAAAGGACCTGGCTCCCTTGCCTCCAGGGACTGATTGGGCTGAGGGGCACAAGAGGGGGGATGGGGGGGACGTGATCTCCGCTGGGGGACGGTCCGGGTCACAGGGCATGGTCCTGGGGCTGGGTGGCTGGCAGGCCTCTCAGGATGCTGTCTGGTGCCGGGCATGGGCTGTGTCTGTTGAGAGGGGTGGGCAGGCCACCAAGGGTGGGGAGTCGGGCTGCACTGTTCTTTCAGGCATGTCTGCTCAGGAGGGTGACAAGATGATGTTTGAGGGGACCTGTCAGGCAGAGGGTGGACGCAGAGCCCCCTGGGGCAGAGGGGGGCCGGACAAGAAAGGATGGACACGGTGGGGGGATGTCAGCCTCATGACCAATCAAAGAAATGCAAATGAGATTTTAAACCGTGCATTTAAAAATCTGCTGGGGGCGCCTGGCTGGCTCAATGGGTTAGAGCACATGGCTCTCCATCTCAGGGTCCTGAGTTCAAGCCCCGTGCTGGGCCTAGAGATTTCTTAAAAAAAAAATCTATCAAAATGGAAAGAAAAAATCATGGGAAGCCCACGTGGGAGATACGCGTGGGGGCGAATAGCTCAGGAACTCGGTCCCCAGAGTTTACCCCAAACACGAACACAGACATGGAGTCAAGGGGGCGCCTGGGGGCTCATCAGTGAAGCGCCTGCCTTCGGCTCAGGTCACGATCTCAGGGTCCTGGGCTCGAGCCCCATGTCGGGCTCCCTGCTCAGCGGAGAGTCTGCTTCTCCTGCTCCATCTGCCGCTCCCCCTGCTCGTGCTCTGTCTCTGTCAAATAAATAAAATCTTAAAAAAAAAAGAAAAAAGAAAAAGAAATGGAGTCAAGGATTGGGCGTGAGGATGTGGGGAACTTGGAAGAACCTGGAATGTCCAGCCATGGTACAGCCGATCCCGGCCCCGGGGGTTTCAACAACGTGTCAGGATGGGGAAACCACACACAAACGCCAAGGGAGCCAGGGCAGGGTGAAAATCGTGTGCACCCTGTGGCTGTGCTTTGGTTCTGCTTGAAAAGTTATGTAATACGAGTTAGAGAATGTATTTTGAAAGACTTGAGGGACGCATGGCAAACCCAGGACGCAGAACGGCGGGCACAGTGCCGGCGAATGCAGGGAGAGTGGGCCGGTTCAGAAGCACCGTGAGTGGGCCATGGGCTCGCGGGCTTGCTGTGGGAGGCACGCTGTGAGCCGCGAGACCAGAAGGGCCGGAAGGGGACCTGGTGCAGCTGCAGGCAGAGAGGCCGGGTCTGGCCAGGAGGACGCGGGGCTCCGCGGGCCCCCGGGGTGGCGTGCCCAGGGCTGTCAGGGGACCAGCGGCAGGGGGACAGAAGCTTCAGGCTGACCCGCCCACCCACCCCGTGGCTTTTCCCCGGAGCACAGACCAAGCGCAGGGACCCCTGAGGTTCAGGCCCTGGCTGGCGTTGCAGATGGGGCCGGCTGGCCCCTCCCTTGCGCCCTGGGGCTGGGAGCAGCCAGCCACTGAGTCGGCCCACGCCACGGGGTCTGTCACTCCCCCGGCCCCGCCGCAGAGACCTGCCTCTGTGGGTCCCCAGGACGGCCCGCTGCTGTGTGTGGAGGAGCACAGAGAGCCACCCCCTCAGCCCTCGTCTTCCCATACACCCTCCGGCCCCGCGGGAGGACCCACCGGCCCCCGGCCCAGCGAAGACCCTGGCCGCGCTGGGCACTGTGGTCAGCACCCGGGCTCCACATCTGGGCCCGGCCGCCCCACGTCCTAGCCGCAAGGGTGATGCAAGAGCCCACTGAGGTTGGCGGGGGTGAGGCCTGGCCCGCTCTGGGGCCTGCTCACCTCGAAGGGGGGGGCACAGAAAAGCAGGAGAAAGTAGGGGCAGTAGGGAAAAGTAGGGGAGACAGGAAGACCCTGGGAGGCCCGTGGGCTGAGGTTGGAAGCTGTGTATCGTCAGGCAGGGAACAGGACAGGCTCTGAGGAACGAGAGGTGGGCGTCTAGAGCACCAGCCAGCAGCAGCGAGACCGCGGTGCTCGATGTCAGAACGCCCTGGAGGGCTAGGACCTGCTCTCTCGGGCCACCCCAGCAGCCAGCTGTTCCAGCCTGGGCCTGGTGCTGGCCCTCGGGCTCTTCCAGGGCGGTCCTTCCCCGCCCCTGTCCCTTCTGTCCAGCCGGGCTGGCCCCAGACCTGGACATCAGCACCTGGCATTACATGGACCACGTGAGCAGGGCCCCCCAGGCCCCCCGGGAGCCCCACTCAGCCCTGACCTGTCTGTGCCCTCAGAGTGCAGGCCCCTGGGGCCTCAGGGGCAGCCCTGGGAGAGGGCCCTTCTGCCAGCTGGCCTCACTTGGGAGGAGAGCGTACATTTTCAGTTGGGCCACCACTTCCTCTGTAATTTGCAGAAGCGGCTTCCAGAGATACCACTCCCTCTCTGCTCCTGTGTGCTTCAGGGAAGAGTGAGCAGTGCAGGCCCCGGGGTGGGGGCGCTCAGCACCCCGGCTTCCAGAACGCTGCAGACCTCCCCAAGGCCCTGCCTCAGGCAGCTCACCGTTCTGAGGAAGGAAATCCGGCCCGGGGCGAGGTTGGCGTGTCCATCCCACCCATGCTCCTGGGGCTCAGACGCACCTGAATGCCTCACAGGTGGACTGGCCTCCCAGCCACTCCTCCCTTGGGGACCCCACTCAGTACCCCCCAGCCGGCTGGGTCTCTGTTCTGGGGTGTGCCCTGCGCAGGCTCTGCTGTGTGACCGCTGGGAGCAGCTTGGCCCTTCTCTTTACGGGGCAGAGTCCTGCACGCGATCCTCCGGCGCCAGGCCACAGACCTCAGGCAGAGAACGCCCAGGGGTGGCCCCGCTTCCCAGCGTAGGTTGTGGGGGCGGGGGGCAGATCTGAGACCTGGGGTGGGACAGGCAAGGCCCAGTGACCCTCCAGGCCCGCGCCTCCCGGCCTATCTGGGAACGTCAGCCTCAGAAGGTTAATAACCTTCTACTGTTTCTAGAGTCCCCTTTGTCTGGATTTTCCAGGTAGGCCTTGAAAGTCCTTGCTAAGTCAACAAGGTTTCTGTAGCTTCAGGCACATATCCCGGCCATCCTAGTCAACGGAGAAACAGTGACAAGGGCGGCTGGGTGGCTGATCTACTCTTAGGGTGCAGCCGTTGGCTCCCCATGGGTGTCTCCCCCTGAGTATGTGGCCTGGGGTGGGAGCCAGCGCAGGAGCCCCTCTGGGCCCAGCCTCCGACCTGCCTCACCGGACGGGAGCCAGCGGGCCCCCAGGGCTCTGCTGTGCCGTCCGCACGGTCAGAGGATGGGTTTAGAGCACTCGCCTCCCGCCGGACACTCTGGCTGATGAGAACAGAGGCTGTTTCCGAGGCGCCTCTGCTTAGGCGAGGAAGCAGGCACCCTGGACGGTGCCCCTTACCTGCCAGGACCCGCTGTGCCTTCAGAACGGCCCACACTCCGTGCTCTGCAGGCATCATGGGCGCTGTCTGGGGGTCCTGGTCCTGCCCACACGGGGTGATGTGCTGTCACGTGCTTCCAGGTCGCATGCACTTCACATCTTGGCTCATTATTTCAACAGGAAAAATTCCTAGAAGGGATTTTACATGATCGAAAGTTAAGCACGTTGAGGATTTGGGATACATGTTGCAAAACGGTGCTCCAACACATTTGTGCCCGTTGATGCTCCTATCAACAGCAGGAAAGGGCACCCACTTCCTCACACTTCTGCCAACACTGAGAATCAAAGTTCTTTATTTTTGCCAACCTCATAGGCAAAAAAAGACTATCATTTTGGTGTTTATGTTCACGTGTCTTTGATTACAAATGGAGTTGAACATTTCTTTTTGAATTTTTAGGAGCTGTTTTAATTTCTTTTGTGAATTATCTGCTTATTGGCTTTGAAACTTATTTTAATTGATTTGTAGATATTCCTTTATATATTAAGGAGCTGCTGTTGTATCCCATAGGATAAATACAAGATTTGGCACAAAGTAAATGCTCACTAAGCATCTGTTGAATGGCTTCATTTGTGATTTAATCTGATTTCCCCAAAGTCATTTCACTTTCTCTTTCTCCAGGTCATTTTAAACTCTCAGAGCAAACTTCTCAATAGGATCGACAGATTGTATGACGAGTACTAGGCACTCTTTTAGAGCCACCATGATATCGGAACCCTCATATATGCCAGGTGAGAGCGCCCTCCCTTCACGTCTCCTTTGACTTTAAACATTTAGGAGGGAGCCTGTAAGCAGTTTTGTACAATGTGCTTTGCCTCAAACGGGGATACTTAGTTCAAAACCTAGCATGCAAAAATAGATTTATCGAAATAAAAACTAAGTCATAAACAGTGAAGGTGGAGACTCTCCGTCAAGACATCAGGGGACATCTGTTTCTTTATTGTTTTGAAGTGCTAGGAAAGAGCAGGAACAGGACTGGGGGGGCACCAGGGCCCCCCACCCTTCCCATTTCTGGGGCAGTGCAGAGCCCCAGAGCTGTCTCAGACGCCCCACAGGAGCCTCTCACCCCGTCTCCCGGGGCTTCATCCACCCCAACCAGGAGCTCTTTTCCCCGGAGGTCAGGGTCCCCTGTGTGGACCTGCAGGGCAGCCCCAGCAAATACAGGGTGCCCTCCCCTCCTGCCTGAGATCCGCGGCGGCCCGTACCCCCTGTGCCCCCCCTACCCGCCGCTGCCACCCCGGTCTTGGGGAAGAACCTATAACTGGGCCTGGCTGCACTCACGTCCCTGAGCGCCAGCCCCTTGCCTCCGCGTGGGGATGGCAGCACCTGTCCAAGGCCTTCAGAAGGGGGGGTCCAGGGGGGTCAGCCACACGGCCACCCTGCCCCATCACGTTGACGACTCTTAAAAATCCAGTTGCCAAGTGTCGACGAGGCTGTGGAGGAACTGGAACCCCGTGCACGGTTGGTGGGAGCAAAAGGCGGTGCGGCCGTGGGCAAAGCCCCTGGGCGGTTCCTCAAAAAGCTGAATATAGAACTTCCCTATGACACGGCAATTCCACTTCTGGGTATTTACCCAAAAGAAGTGAAAGCAGGGTGTTGAGGTGAAGCTCCACCTCATGTCCCGGGCAGCAGGACTCACGGACAGATGTGGGAACGAGCCGGGTGTCCCTCTGCAGACAGACGTGGGGACAAGCCACAGACGGACCTGGAGATGAGCCGAGCGTCCCTCTGCAGATGGACATGGGGACGAGCCGGGTGTCCCTCCCCAGATGGACCTGGGGACAAGCCAGGTGCCCCTACTGCAGACAGACGTGGGGACAAGCTGCAGACGGACCTGGGGATGAGCCGGGCGTCCCTCTGCAGATGGACGTGGGGATGAGCCGGGGGTCCTTCTGCCAAAGGACACAGGTTTGGATGGCTCCAGCACACGGGACTGTGACTCGTGTGCTGCCGGCTGGGTTGTGGGTGGCCCTTGAGGACATGGTCCAAGGGAGAGAAGCCAGGCACAAGAACACCCCCGTGGGGACCTCCGGAATGCGGGGGGCAGGCGCCCGGGCAGCCGAGTGGAGCTCCGGTGTCATGGGGATGGGGTATGGGTCTCACAAGATGACAAGCGTCCTGTGGAGGGGCAGCGGTGGTGGCTGCATGGCAATGGGAATGTCGCCAACAGCTCTGAGCTGCCCACATAAAAATGCAAAGACGGTAACTTTTCTATTACGTGCATTCTACCAGAATCAGAGCACTGGGGGAGATGCGTGAGTGGAATGACCGGGCGTCAGGGTCCGGCCGTGAGGCTGATGGACCCTGTCGCTCGGGGACGCATTGTTGGAGGCCTGACCATGAAGCCCCAGCAGGAAAATAAGCCAGGTGCCGCCGGCGGCCCGCACTCTGCAACAGTGGCCCTGCCCGGCCAGGCTGCCGAGACCGGGCGAGGTGCCCTGGCCGGACACCCGCGGCGAGGTTAGCCTTTGGAATGTGCTGCTTTCCTAACCCAGTGGACGTCCATGCGGGGAGGCCGCGGCGTCGTGACTCAGGGGCACGAGAAGCCACAGCTCCCTTCCGTGCTTTCACCGAGGCCCGGCCAGACCAGGGGGCGGGGGGACGCCGTGGCCAGAGGAGCCATCGGCCTGCATTGGCACTGGGCTGGCAGCTGTCCACGCTCCCTGCTGACCTCGGGAGCATGTTTACGTCGGGAGCATGAGTGCACGGGGGAGGAGAGGTGGGGTCCAGGGCTAGGATGGCGTGGCATCTCCGGAGGAACGGAAAGGCAGAGCCCAGGGGCACAGGCTCTGGGAAGCACGCATCACCTTGGAGGCCACAGACGCTCATCCCCATGATGGGTCCCAGGGGAGGGTGGGAAGGAGGAGAGGCTCCGGGGAGGCTCTGGGTGCAGGTCGGGGGCTCAGAGGGTGCCCAGGAGAGCAGGCTGGGCAGGAGCGGGCGGTGCCTGGCATGTGGCAGCTTCCTTCCCCACGGCAGGTCCCCAGACAATGCGTGAGGCACAGCCGTGTCCCTGACCCTTAGCGCTGGGGTCGCCCCTCGCAGCACAGCACTCTGTCTTCATGACTCATCCACCCACATGTCCCCTGCCCCTCAGGAGCACCCGGGAGGGAGGGCAGGTGAGGACCGACCTCGGGCTCTGGCAGCGCGAGCATGGGGTCGGGCCTCCTTGCTGTTGGACGGGGTGGTGATGGGCAGGCGGGCGTCAGGTCACACCTTCCTCCAGAGTCCTCCCTGACAAATGGGCACTGGAGTGGGGCCTGGAGGAGTCCCTGTGTCCAGGCATGGATGGGACACGGCAGGGAGCACTCCCCCGGGGCACCCATTTGGCACGCCGTGGCCCATCAGCCAGCCTCAACATGTTCCCGCTAGGAAGTGCCTTGAAGCCCGGGTCACCCGTTGGCAGAGGTCCGTGAAAGCTTGTCTTCCCCGTGGGCACTGGGCTGGCTGGGTGCCCGAGGCTGTGCACTGACGGGGCCCCTCGGGTCCCCGGAACTCCAGAGCCCTGAACGTCTCTGGGCCTTGGACTCCACATGGCACTGCACAGTGACTCAGGGAGAATCAGCACGGGGACGCTCACCGACGTGATGCCCCAGAGCCTGTTTTCCATTCCCGTGCTGGTTCACTGCTGTGCTCTTCCCAACTGATGGGGGCGGCAGGGAAGCCCCGGGCTGTCATGTGGGGTGGGCGTGGGGTCTGCAAGGGGACACCTGCCTACACGACCCCAAAGGACAGCCCCAGCGTGAGAGCTGCCGGGAAACCAGCTCTGGAGTGAATCCCAGGACCCCTGCCCTCTGGCCCCCTGAGCTCGGGTGATGAAAGTGTATCACTGACTTCTAAAAAGGCACAACCTGGACCGACACAGACGGAGAGACGTTGTGGGACACCGGCTGGCACTGCGGGTCGAGGACAGGGCGGAGGCCACGGGCTCCGACGGGCGGGACCAGGAGCCTCGTGTGGCAGACAAACAGAGCAGAGCCCCGAGGGGCCGGACACAGGGTCTGTGCGCAACGGTGGCATTTATATGCTCTCAGATGCAGAGGGTCCAAAGTCAGACCAACAGGTGACAGCTCCTCACGGCTTGAGAGGCCAGGACCCCCAGGAGACCACCTGCTGGAACCGCGTGAAGAGGGCGTCCAACAGGCTCCTGTTCTCCGCGGCCGGAGGAGGTCCTGAGGCCAGAGACTAAGGGAGGGCAGCTGGCGGGAGCCCGGCTGCCACGTGGCTCGTCCTGCACATGGCGGACAACCATGCCCACGTGTGCAGATACAAACACACGAGCCGCCACACCAGGCCAGAGTGGCACACAGGCCCGTCGGGGCACTGGATGGACGACGCCCGAGGCTCCTGCACGTTCAGGAGGCTGCAGGCTCTGACGAGCTCCAGGTGCTACAAACCTGCACATTCCATTTCCACGGTAGTCTCTGCAAGACTACAAATAGACCTAATGGTAATTTCCAAACCACTGGGGTGGGGGGGAAGCAGCATTCAAGAACTGAACAAACCCAGAAGGGGTGTGTGTTTGCTGGTGCAGAAGAAAGAACGTGTTCCAGCCGCCCTCCTGGGCTTGTGGATGGCCTCCTTCTCCGTGTCCCAGACACAGAGTCTGCCCTGCATGTGTCCCTGTGCTCGAATGACCCCGGGGGTTAGGGCCCTCCCAAACGACCTCCCTGTAACCTGACCACCTCCAGCCACGCTCTGAGCTGCTGGGGGCAGGTCTTCACCAAGTATTTTTCTGGGGGTGGGGAACGCAATTCAACCTGTCACAGAAGGCGGAAGGGGAACAGAAAGGGCAGACAGAAGAGCACAAAATGAGGGGGAAACAAAACCGTATCAATATAAACGGACCGCACGCAGTAACAGAGCTCAGAGCGTCCAGTTTTCAAATCCAGCCACAAGCTTCTCCTAAGTGTCACATCTAAAACATGGGGATGCAGATGGTTCGGAGGTAGAAGGCTGGAAAAAACACACCAAATGGATAGTAATCAAAAGAGAGCTATTTTTGACTCAAGCAATAAAAGCCTTTCTGCTAAAAGCATTATCAGAAATTTGACCTCTTTCCTGTGGTTGCTGCTTCAAATTCCCACAAACTTAGAGGCTTAAAAGTGCAAACTTACTATCGTCATCGTCCTGGGGGTGAGCCGTGGGAGATGGGCCAAGATGGGGTGGCACGAGCTGCATTCCTTCCGGAGGCGCTAGGGGAGGATCCGTTCCCTCGCCTGCTTCCCAGGGCTCGCGGCCCCTTCCTCCCTCGGCCAAGTCACCAGTGGCTGCCGGAATTGTCACGACCCTCCATACCCCTCTCCTGCCTTCCTCCCTCTTCTGCAAGCAAGGACCCCGTGCTTACATCGGGCCCCTGGGTCATCCGTGATAGTCTCCCTGTTGCTCTGTCAGCCACTTAGCAAGCTTAATTCCCTCTGCGGCCTTACCTCCCGTCCCAAGGGCTGGGTACTGCACCAGCCCGTGTATTCTGTCCGTAATGCCGTCGGGTTGGAGACCAGAGGTCGGAGAGTCATTTTAAGGAACCCACTTGGAAACGTGTAAGCACCTGGTGTGTCTAGTCTGGAGTTAGCCTGAATCTTACCCTTTCTTAGCGCCATAAAGTCTCTCCCAGGTGGTGCCCAGGGAGGCCTGTCCTCATGCTTTGTCTCTGTCCCACAGGAAACGCCAGTGCAGTAACCAGCCCTGGGCCAGTGACCGTGCTCCCTGATGTGGTCACCTCGAACTGCAACGGGTCCTTCGAGGACAGCAGAGTGTTCCTGGTGGTGGTGTACAGCGCGGTGTTCGTGCTGGGGCTGCCAGCCAACTGCCTGACGGCCTGGCTCACGCTGCTGCAGGTGCTCCAGGGCAACGTGCTGGCCGTCTACCTGTTCTGCCTGGCGCTCTGCGAGCTGCTCTACATCAGCACCCTGCCCCTCTGGGCCATTTACATCCAGAACCAGCACTACTGGACTCTGGGCATCTGGGCCTGCAGGGTGACGGGCTACATCTTTTTCTGCAATCTGTACGTGAGCATTCTCTTCTTGTGCTGCATTTCCTGCGACCGCTTCATGGCGGTGGTGTACGCCCTGGAGAGCCGCGGCCGCCGCCACCAGCGGACCGCCGCCCTCATCTCCGCGTCCGTCTTTATTGTCGTCGGGCTCGCTCACTGCCCGGTGTTTAAAATGGACGAGAAGAGGACATGCTTCGAGGCATCGATGGACACCAAGATTGCTGGGTACTACTACTTGCGCTTCACCGTGGGGTTCGCCCTCCCCCTGCTCATCATCGTGTTCACCAACCAGCGCATCTTCAGGAGCATCAAGCTGAGCACGGGTCTGAGCGACGCCCAGAAGGCCAAGGTGAAGCGCTCGGCCATAGTGGTTGTGACCATCTTCCTGGTCTGCTTTGCCCCCTACCACCTGGTGCTCCTCACTAAAGCCGTGGCCTATTCCTACTACAAGGGAGACCCGGGCGTCATGCATGCCTTTGAAGCCAGCCTGTGCAAGCTCTCTGCGGTGTTCCTGTGCCTGTCCACGGTGAACAGCGTGGCCGACCCCATCATCTATGTGCTGGCCAGGGACCATTCACGGCAAGAGGTGTCCAGAATCCACAAGGAATGGAAAAAGTACTCTGCAAAAGCAGAAGTCACCAAGCTCACGTGTTTGAAGGACTCAGAGGAGGTGCCACTGCCCACGTCGCTCACAAACGACTCCACATTCCCCAGGACTGTCCACCCATCAGAGTCAGAGCCGGCCCTGCGGGGCTCACTGGACACTCTGGAGAGGCTGAATGAATAGTCGCGCTGAGCCCAGTGTCCTGCAGGGCAGGATGGCCATCATGGGAGCCCAGGGGCCAGGGCTGTGGCTTCCCCATCCACTGAGAGCTTGCTAGCCACAGTTCATGGCGCTGGCTGTGAAGCCCCCTCTGGAAAGCACGCCGCCGATCTCTCATTCCTGGAGCCATGCCCTCTGTAACCCCCTGCCCCTCAGGGTCCCAGCACCCCTGGGCGGTCCCACTGGGCCCCGCACAGAAGGTGGCAGCATGCCCAGGGGAAGGGCGATGCTCCAGGCTGCGGGGTGCCCTGGCAGCACATGGCAGGCAGGATGGTCTCTTCCTCTGCACTCGAGTTGGTTGGTTCACCCGGCTATTAGTGAACAGCAGGGCCTCGGCAGAGGCCTCGTGCCCACCTAGTGCTGCCAGCAGCTGGCCCAGGCCACGCACGGAGTAGGTGCCCGGTCAGTATCCACCGTGATGACTGTATCTTCCGCGCTTCTCTACAAAGCATTGCTTGGATGACCATGATCGTACAACCCGGGACCTTTGTGTCGTGCCCGTGCAAACTGGGAGCTTCACACAGTGCCCGGTCACGGCGGGACAGCTGAGGCCTGAGCGGTGGGGGTAGCAGCCCAGCCCCGAGGGCCCTGGGCTGCTCCGTGCTGAGCGGGTCTGAGGCCACAGGCTGCTGTGGACCCTACAGCGGAGCTTCCAGCAGGGCGGCCGGCATATATTCTGGAGGGTGCCCAAGCCGGGAATGCTGGCGGACACCCCAGGAAGGGTGACACGGCCACCAAAGAGCCTCGGAGAATAGTTGGAATTCCTGTGCATCGAGGCTTCCTGGCTTCACTGTCAGGGGGGAAGCTGCTGAGGGCTCAGAACAGGGGGGTCAGGAGTGAGCAGGTGACGCCCAGGCCTCCATCCCCACAGCAAGGTGTGGATGGAGTTCGGGTAGAGCACGCCACCATGAAGCCTGGAGTCGGGGCCTGGCTCTGCACCAGCCAGCATCGTCACACCCAGGTCACGGCGCAGCCTTGGTTTCCTGCCTGTAACAGGGTCAATAACACCCACCTCCCGGGTCAGTGTGGGGGGCTGACCCACTATCTCTGCTCAGGCACTCTGAAATAGGAGCCCAGCAGGCTGCATGCCCCGCAGAGGGGCCCGGGCACCCCCAGGCGCCTGCCCTTCACAGGAGCTGTGCCGGGCCATGGTGCCAAGTTACGTTCTCGTGTCTGGAAGGCAGCAGGCAGTCCACTGTCCTTCCTTGCAGTGAGAGACATTGAAAAGACACAATTAGAAAATAAGTCTGGAAATAAAGTTGCAAAAATGCATGCCAGTCCCAAGTTCCTTTCCGATGAAATGATGTCCTTTACCTCTTCGGGCACACGCTTTCCTCCAGGGCTCTCTTGGAGGGGTGTGAGCCCCTGGGCTCTCGAAGTGATGTGCCGTGGCTTCTGGGAACTGTCCAGAATGCTCTGCGCTAGGGAGAGAGCTGGGTGCCGCGGGAGGGGCCCGTGAGCCTTCCATGGGGTGCCCTGTGCTGGTTTGCAGGGGCTGCTGTAACCAATTAACACAGGCCCGGGGGCTTGCCATGAAACTTGTTCTCTCCCAGTTCTGTCTGGGGCTGGAAGTCCAAGATCAGGGTGTCGGCAGCGCTGGCTCCTTCGGGGGGCTCTGGAGGAGGACCAGTCCCGGCTCTTCTCTCAGCCATCCCCGGCCCTCCTCCGGTCTCTGCCTCCCTCTTCGCGGGCCCTTCCCTGGGGAACCTGTCCCCACCTTTCTGTCCCACGGCCTCCAGTGACCAGCTGGACACCTGCGCAGGGGCTGCTGGCTTCTCAGCTGTCTGGCCCAACGTGCTCTGTCGAGGCTTTCTGTCCTCTGTCCTCGGGGAGCTCAGAGCCTGCCCCTCGGGCACCAGGGTGACCAGGCTGTCTGAGGGCCCCTGGCAGGTGCACAAGTGTCCCACCTGGGGGTTCTTCCTGGGTCTTTCCACGCTTCAGCCTGAGAAGCTGCCACAAGCCACCTGGTCCCGGCGCCTCAGTACTGCCCTGGGACCAGTGTTTTCGGACAGGAGGGAAGGACGACAGGTGGGCTGAGGTCACTGGCACGTGCGGCCCCAGCCCTGGGCAAGGGGTCGGGTGGAGGCCTCCTCAGGTAGCCAATCGGGGCACGCCTCCTCCGGTGTGGGCGGGGCCTGGCGTGGGCGGGGCCGGCGTGGGCGGGATCAGGTGGCTGGAGCCGGGTGCGCGGGGCTAGGGTACAGTGAGCGGGGTTCCAAGGTCAGAAGGGGTGACCTGGAGGGTCTCCTTCGCCGGCCGGTCTCGGAGGGTGTCTGCAGTGACGGCTTGGGGCCGCGTGAAATGAGAAAATGTGTATGAGGAGGGACAGTGACCACTGGGGACCAGGAGAAGCTCTGGGCTGAGGGCCCAAACAGCTGGGGTGTCCGCACTAAGACACCAACCGATCCACTGTACACAGCGTGCAGGGCGCGCTTACCTTAGCTGACGGCTGCTAGGGGAACCCTGATGCCATGGGCCAGCTGCATGCTGGGTGCGGGGCCACCCAGGGCAAGGTCTGGGGGGCAGCAGGCGGAGGGCACCAGGTCCGAATGCCAGCTGGACAGGGGCAGCTGGGGAGGGCGTGGGCAACGGCTGGCCTGGGCGCCAGTGCCCAGCTTGACCCCAGGCCCAGCCTGCGTCAGTGCCCCCTGCCTGGTGGTGCTCCCCTCCTTGATGAGTAATGCTATTGTCTTCACTCACTGACCACAGACCTTCGCCTTTCATCTGACTCATGCTGTTTATGGAAACTTCTCTGGTGAGCAGTGGGGTTGCCGAGTGCTGGTGACCAGATCAGATATCTGTGTGTGAGACCTTTCCTCGCCCACCCACCTGCTCCCTCACACGCACACACTCACTCTGGGCCTCGCTCCTCCCTCGTTCCTGTGGCTCACGGCTGCCTTCCCGGCTCCCTGGACAGGGCCTGTGCCTGGGTAGTCCCCTTCCGGTTCCTCAAGGAACCCTGGGGGACAGCCGGCCGTGTGCATGGACAAGCACCATGCCAGCTGGGGCGCCCGGCCAGGTCACCCGACATTTCAGCACCCACATGTAAACCAACCTACTGGACCGTTCGACCAGACGCCCTCCAGCTTCCTGCCCTGACAGACGCTCCTGGTCAGGTGTAGGGCCGGACCCCTCCTCAGCCCACCCCACTCTCCTGGTACTGCTGGTGGCAACCTGGGCGCAGCCTTCAGGAGAGGCCAAACAGCAGGGACGGGGACTCAGGATGGGGTAGCTGGGAGTTCTGGACTGCTGTGGTCTGCAGGGGGTCCCCCCCGAAGCCTCCTGACCCCAGGAGGGATGTTGCAGGGGAGGGCCTTGGGGCAGCCCATGTGCAGGTCCTCCTGAGTGGTGCCCAGGGAGTGAGGAGCGCTGGCATGGGATGCACCCCAACATGGCACGGAGCACTTAGGCTCCCCAGACCATCTGAAGGTCTCCTGAGAACAGCTCACAGTTTTCGGGGCTGGCCACTGTACCTGCCCACAGAGCTGCTGGGTACACTGAGTTGTGTATGTCCCTGGCCTAAGCTGGCCTGACACGAGGGTGTGCTCAAAGTCAGTTAGACGTTGGTCTTGGGGTCCTGCACACATGCCAAGTTAATTCCTGACAAAGGGCCATGCGTTCCCAGGGGTGGCCCCTGGAGGTGTGGTGCGTGGACACCAGGGGGCAGCACCGCCGCAGCGGTGGGGGGGCTGGTGGTGGTGGTGTGTGGCCCTCCCCAGTCCCAATCTCGGGGAGGAACCTTCCTGGGGCCTGTGGACAGGGCAGGTGGAGCCCAGCCACCTCCCCGGCCGGCCGGCTGAGCCCGAAAGCACCCTGGGCCCAGAGCTGGGTCTGAGAAGAAGAGGAATGGCGAGCGGCCTTGAGCCCTGGTGACGGCATTATTGGCAGTGGCATCAGCCCTCTGCCCGGCTGGTGAGATGCAGCAGGGGCGGGGTGAAGCTCAGGACTGGGCTCCTGGAGGGGGTGGAGGCCACAGGGCAGAGGCTGAGCTCCCGGGCAGGGCAGCGTGGAGGCGGCCAAGTGAGCCATGGCTGCAGGAAGCCCTCCCAGGATGCGTCTAGCACACCTCCGAACGCCCACCGCCGGCCACCGCATCTCAGGCTCCCCCTGCACACCTCCTTCAGGGCAGGGCCTCCTCGTGCACTAGAACCAGTCAGAGGGTAACAGGTGTCCGTGTTGGCGTCCGAGCCCCTCCACGGTGCTGGCGGGAACGGAGAGGGAAACAGCCTGGTGGTTCCTCAGTGAGCCACGCAGGAGTCAGCCCTGCCCCAGCAGCACCCCTCCCCGTGCCGCCCGGGGCTGAAAGCACGCAGCCACATGGATCGTCAACACTCACTGAGGCTGGAGGCTGGAGACAGGCCAAACTGCGGTCTACCTCACGGTGGGACACAGGCAGCATGGCAGACGGACGGAGAACACCACTGAGTGACAGGAGCAGACCCGAGAGGCCACAGTCAGTAGGATTCCATTTCTGTGAAATGCGCAGAACTGGGATCATGAACACTCCTGACTGGCCTGCAGTGGAGCAGCCCCGCCCCGTCTGCCCTTCCTCCCCTGGATGTGGCCCCGGGGTGCGTAGCCTGCATCCAGATCACCCAGGGGGGCCTCCTGTTAAAGCAGGGGTGGGAACTAGCCCCGCGCTTTCTGAGTCAGAGAATTTGCATCTGTAACAGGTGCCCAGGAGGTCCTTATTCAAGTCCACACACTGAGAGCCTCTGGTCTCAGCCCAGTGCCATCGGAATGGCACGTATCCAGTTCTGGCCAGTGAGAGGTGGGCCAGGGATTCAGTCTGCCTCCTGGAGGAAAGGCTCTCCCTTTCCCTGGACCTGCTGCGAGGCCAGGTACAAGGTCTGGAGCTGCGGCAGCCGCTCTGAGACTATGGGCAAAGCCGTCGGAGCAGAAAGCCGGCACGAAGGGGAAGGCCTTTGTGTCCTGCCGCTGCTCATTCCACTGCTTGGCCTCGTCAGGGCTAGTGACACTCCCCTGTAGTCCAGCTCCTGTTCCCCGGGCCCGCTCCACTCGGAAGGCGAGGCCGCCGTCCCCCCAGCCCTGCCTCCTTCGGCTCTCCCACATTGGCACCCCCCGCTGTGTCCGCTGTTGCCTCTTCCTACTGTCACCCCCACGTTGGCTCACACAAGCTGCCCAGGATGCCTCCTTGCACACTGCAGGCCCCGCTGAGGCTCCTCCCACCACTGCCTGCAATCCCGCTCTCCTTTGAGGTCACATGTTACACGCTTTTCCACAACCCTCCAGACTATTCCTAAACATTTACTTGTCTACGTGGGCACCTGTGGAAACTATGTGGAATTGTTTTGCTTTTATCCAACTTTTTATTTCAGAATAATTCCCAATTTACAGAAAAGTGGTACACTCAGTGCAAAAACACACTGGCTTCTCTCTCTCCTTCCACAGATTCCCCAATTGTCGGCATTTTAGGGCATTTGCCTTATTAGTCACTCTCTGTTCCGTATAACAATTTATTCCTGCACCATCTGAGAATAAGTTGCAGACACGGTGCCTGTTGCCCTTAACACCCGAGAGAGTATTTTCAGAGCCACGGGACTCTCTCCTGCATAACTGGTGCAACCTGAAAGATCGGGAAATCGCCGCTGACCTAACGCACGCACTGTCTCAATGACATCCTCTGGGGTCTCTGCAGAGTCTCCTGTGCCTTCCGCTTGTCTGCTGGACCACCTCGGGGGGAGGCCCCGTCCTCCCCGTCACATGCTGCCACTCCTGTGGAGTCCCGGCACCAGGGCGAGATGGCACCTGGCGACACCCTCGCCGCGGGGTGAGCTGTGAGCATTCCGTACTCATTAGTTAGTAAGTAGTTTGTGGGGAGAGGGTGTGAGAGTCTTCGACGAGGCTGGTGTTTCCTTCTGTCTTGGGGGGGTACACTCTTACATCTGGACTGCTGGTTTGCTCGAGGGAATACTGTCTGTAACCTTCAGTCAGCTCCTGCGTCCCTCTGATGCGTCCTTACCTTCTGGTACAGGATGCCGAGGTCACTCAGCTCAGCCTTTTCTCCAAGGAGACCCGGCCCCTTGCTGCCAAGAGCAGTGAGAGCAAGAGCTGGGCGCCGGGGATGCCCGCTGGGGCCGGCCTCCACAAACACGCACGCACACACGTCCGTACCTCTCTACGTCTGCGTGTGTGAAACGGAGCGTGCTCGGCGACTTCCAGCTGCAGCCCCACGCCAGGCCAGCCCAACCTGGCGTCTTCCTCCCCTCACACCCCCTTCCCCCCACGAGAACACAGTGCCCTTTGCCATG